TATTCTAGGAGTTGATATAGAATTAATAAACTAATTAAACTATAGTTCAATTAGTTTATTAATTCAACATCAACTCCTAACACCTTTTAACAGTGTATATATACACTGTATAAAAGTGTTAGGAGTTGATTCTAAATTTATAAACTATGTGAACTATAGTTCAATTAATTTATTAATTCTACACAGGGCCGGCGCCAGTAGATGTCAAGTGTGGGGGGGGGGGGGGGGGAATGTCATTACAACTTTTGCCGACAAAAAAAAAAAAAAATGGTCCTCGTTTTTTGAAAATTTTCCGACTGTAATGACGACATTTACCGACTGACTGTCTAAATTTACCGACTAATCTATTGACAGGGTCTGCATTTGCCGAATAACTAGTCAAAAAGGGTCAAATTTGCCGACTAATAGTCAAATTTGCCGACTAAAAATCATTGATGGGGGTTGGGGGGAGGGTGTTACACACACACACACACACACACACACACACACACACACACACACACACACACACACACACACACACCCCTATCCCGCCGGCCTTGATTCTACATCAACTCCTAGAATATCAGCAGACACTTTTGAATTTTTAAAAAAACCTTCGAGCAGTATTTACGTATTTCAGTTTTTTCCAATTATAATAGGACAACCTTGAACTGCATTTGGATGTACCTAGTGCAATTATATTCTTATTATTTTCGTTTATTTATTAATTAATTAACAATTAAGATTAGTGTAATAGTAAGATACATTTGAGCAACAAAATTCAGTGATCGTATAGATGCGAGTAAGATGCGAGGCGCATTTGTTTATCAAGAATATTTTGATATTATTGTTTTCGCTCGAGTCATGCGATTCAAAAGAATTAGTATTTTAATTCAAGCCATAAAGACCATAACTAAAGAAAAGTTTAAAATTTGTATTTATTTATTTGTTTTTGTTTTTTCTAAAATCTAAATTAATTTTAAATTCTTCAACAGCGGTTCTCGGTGACAAGACCTGTACGGTCTTCTTTGAGTATCCGCGTTCATTATCTTTATTTTTTAAAGGTATCTTTGCATGTAATTTTTCTTATTGATATATTTGTAAATATTGTACTAAATATTGTAATAAAGAACAAAAAAAAATAATTAATTATACAGTAATTTTACAGTAATTTTACAGGTTTTATCTAGTGGCTTTCCTATAAATGCAGACAAATTTGAAAACTATTTTACAGAAACTGCATTACTGTTTGTCAAAAAATATCCTTTGTACAACATGTCTACAATAGTACACAAAGTACTTATTCATGGAGCCTTAATTATAAAAACGGCTATATTACCCATAGGCCAACTATCTTAGAATGCACAGGAATCGAGAAACAAAGACTTAAAAAAATATTGTGAGAATTTTGCCAGGAATAACTACAGAAAAAATACAATGCATGACGTCTTTTGCAGACTTCTGCTTTTTGTCAAATCCTGCAATATCTTAGCTTATAAAATCTCAAGCAAAAGTCAGCAGAAGTTTGTCTTCTCAAGCTTTACAATGTTACTCCAGAGACAAATGTTACTACCTCCAGAGACTAACGAAATCTCTGAAACTCATTTGTTTGTGAAAGAACTTAACGACAATATTTCAACAAAAAATGATTCTTATGATGAATGACCGTGGTTATTTACATTTAAATTAATATAAATTAAACAATTATAATAAATAATGCTAACAAAATTTTTCCTTTTTTAATAAATATAAAGTAGAATAAAAAAAAGTTTTAAAACTTTTTTTATAAACATTTTCTTTATAATAATACAGCTATACATTATATACAATACATTAGTCTATTGAACTTAAATGTTGAATTCAAATTAAAGGGTTAAAAACTATGGTCCAAATGCATTTCAAATGATTTTTTTTTAAACACCGGCATTTTGGATCAGCCATTATTGAATTTTGTAACACTGATTTCAAATTTAAAGTCAGGAAAACAAAAAAAATGCTGCACACAAATTTTCAAGGAGTTTTGAAAAGGAGTGTGAAAATTCGTATATCTAACTGCAATAAAAAGTTAACAAAAGTTAACTTTTTATTGCAGTTAGATATACGAATTTTGAATATTTTCATCACCTAATATTTCAATGCACCCTAATACACAGGTGTCAGTTAAGAAAAATCAGATTTTCTGATGAGTCTTTATTGATGAAACATAGTGTTTAATAAAAAATTTTTGTAAAGTGATTTTCTACTAATTTAATTTATACATGCATATATATATATATATATATATATATATATATATAATATATATATATATATATATATATATATATATATATATATATATATATATATATATATCGTAAGTGTGTCCAGACCATATTTGCAGGTCGTGCACAACAGTGGCTTATTTAGGGGGAGTACCTACTTCCCCTGGTTATACTTTAGCTAATACCTAGTAATAACTAGGTTATATTTATTATAAATTTTAAACGACTAGTAGACTCGTAACAATTATTGTAGACTTACCATATACGGGAACAATAATGTTTAAAAAAAAACGCCAATTTTTGTGTGCTTAGCTCAATTTGACCAAATGTTGTACTTAACATTTCTGTGCATAATACCATCATAATATATATGTATATATTTATATGTATATGTATATATATATATATAGAGAGAGAGATTCGGTCTATATCGGGATGACGGGTTAGCTGTTTTCAAGAACAAAAATGGCCATCAATTGGATCAAACAAAAAAACGTGTCGTTCAAGTTTTTAAACGTAACAATCTCAACATCTCTATCAATTATAATCTTAAAATTGTTAACTACCTTGATTTAACTTTTAATCTTACTTAAAATTCATTCCAACCATACTGCAAGCCTGATAATAAGCTAAGTTATGTATATGCTGATTCTAACCATTCACCTAACATAATAAACAATCTTCCAAAAAATATCAAGCTAAGATTGTCCGCCAACTCATCAAGTGAAGTTATTTTTAATAAGTCGACACATCTTTATAGAGACACACTAAAGCAATCGGGATATGATTATTACGTTGGCATATAAACCAAGCATAACAAATGTTCCAAAAAATCACCACAAACGAAGTATAATCTGGTACAACCCTCCATTTAGTAAAAATGTTACAACCAAAATTGGTCAACGCTTTTTAACCCTAATTGACAAGCATTTTCCTAAAGACCACAACCTACACAAAATATTTAATAGAAACACTATTAAAATAAGCTAATCCTGCATGCCAAACATTAAATCTATCATCAACTCACACAACAAAAATATTTTATATGGTGATGTAAAGTTGTCAGAAAAAACCTGTAATTGCATTAAAAAATCTCTTTGTCCACTGAACAACAATTGCTAGTCTAACAGCATTGTTTACCAAGCCACCGTAAGCTCAAATAAACCTCAATACAAAGATAAGATTTACATTGGGATAAGCGAAACCTCTTTTAAACTACGTTATGCAAACCATCTAAAATCCTTCAACATAAAAAAGTACAAGAACGACACTGAGTTATCTAAGGAAGTATGGAATTTAAAAGATAACAATTTTACATCTTCAATCGAATGGAATATAATTAAACGCTGTAAATCATACAACCCTGCGTCAAAAATTTGTAAGCTTTGTTTAAATGAGAAATTTGAAATATTATTTTACAAAGGAGATAATCTGCTAAATAAAAGAGGAGAAGTAGTTTCGAAATGTAGACATAAAAATAAATTTCTTCTTTCATTATTTGATAGCGGAGATTAGTTTTCCATTACGTCTTCTTGTACTAAGACGTCAGAACTCATTCTATTGTAGTTTGTAATTTTTTAGCGGTTTTTTATATTTTTGATTTTGTACTTCATGGCTGATGATTGCCGATAGCATGAAACTTTAAGTTCCATTAAAAGTTGTTTTTTCTATATTTAAGTATAAAACGCTCTGTTTTTGAAAAACTAAATATTTCTTAAATATTGAGCACTCTACAACGATCAAGAGTTTAGTATTTTTAATTCTAAATCATACAACAACAATATATATATATATATATATATATGTATATATATATATATATATATATATATGTATATATATATATATATATATATATATATATATATATATATATATATATATATATATATATATATATATATATGTATATATATATATATATATGATATATATATATATATATATATATATATATATATATATATATATATATATATATATATATATATATATATATATATATATATATATATATATATATATATATATATATAACAATTCGTTAAATCTATTTTTTTATCTATTTCAAATAATTTTCGATATGTTTAAAAGTCTGAAGTAAGTGGCTTAGTTTTAAAACCAATTTATCACACAACAATAAATCTTCAACAGCCTTAGTAAAATTAGTAAAATCTTTATTAAATATGTCCATTATCTCTGTTTCAGAAAAATATTTATTTACAAAAGGTGAATGTAATGTAAAGTTGGGTAAAGTTTGATGCATGGTTATCGGGGTATTTAATTCATCATTAATAAAATTATCTTCTTTTACAGAAAATATATTTCTGAACAAGTCGGTTGCTTTAATAATTTTACCAGGTAACTCACAAATAATACTTTTCAATGGAAAAGAGTTGTTTTGAATATCATAAGAAGTTTGCAAACAATAGCCTGACAGCTCTAAAGCAAACTCCCAGTATGTTAAGTCAGAAGAAGGATCATTAAACCTAGAAGCGCAGCTAGGAGAATCACAATCTTTTAAATAAAGTTGATGAGTATTGTTACTACAATTGGTTGCAAAAGGTTGCAAGACAGAACTGCTTTCAGTTAGCAAGAGCTTGAGCGAAATATTACTTAAATTCTCTATAAACAAAGTAACATCTGATCTTTTAAAGTAACCAGAATATTGCAAGAGCAGATGCTTTTTAATAACTGTATACCTATTACAAATACAATGGTTTAACTCACGGATACCGAGAGCCAGTTTTGTTCGTAACTATAAGTTTGATCAAACTTTTCGATATCGAATTCGGGAACGTATTTTGCTATTTTTTCCAGAGAGGAAAATATTTCATGAAATAGATATTTTAAAGTATTCTCTTTACAAATTTTTTCAATTTTATATTTTTCTAGAGATTTGTTTTGTTGTTGATAACATTCATATTCGCTTTCCGCTTCAGTATCACATACTTTTACATTTAAACTGTTGTTTTTTTTAATGCAGTTTAAACAAATATCAAAACCACCGGCAGGTGCACATTTTGAGCAGGAATATCGCTTGCTATTACACATAATTTTGGCAGCGCAAACATCGCATATGACACAACTGAGAAGATTTACCGCTAATAACCCATCGAAATAACTCGCTACTGTTTTGTCCAACGCAATAATCTGCAGCATCAGGTTAGCAAGCTTTTTGTTTTGTACAGAATATAGTAATCTTATTTCTTCATTTTCTTTTAACTGCAAAAACTTAGCAAGTATATCAACAAACTGAGCTTGAATAATTATTTCATTTTTTACGCGTGATATTTCTTCGTAAGTAGCGTACGTTTTATTAAAAAATAATACCAAAACAATTTAACTAAACTTTCCAAAGCAAAATTTAATTTTGACACAATTTTTTGTTGGTATAAAAATGCAACAGAAATTTTTAAAGAATGAGTTTGTTTTTTTATTAAATTTTCGTAAACAATATTTATTCCTGCACTCATACTTTTTAATAAGGCATTTAACTTTTTAACTAAATCTGTTATTAAACTAAACAAGTTCAATTCAGTAAGAACCAAAATAAAAGATGGAAAGTGTTCCAATAAATTCAATCCTTCGATAAAGTAATGTTTTATAACTTTTTTTTTAATACCATTAACAAACTTTCTTATCAAGAACAAAACTCCATTCTCAGGTGATACTTGTTCCCACCATGACTGGGGTTGTTGTTCACAAGCCCACATCATCACAGTTTTGCATATATACGTGGGTAATGACTTTTCATGACTGTATGTTTTTACATATTTGTAAAACAATGACTTGAAAAGAAAGTAAATGTAATTTTGTTTCTCGCTTCGATGGAGACTTAAAACAGATTCTGCTGCAGAAAAAGACAACTGCCATTCCAACCTCTCGTCGCCATCTGGTAAAGACTTTGGTACGATATGAAAACCATTTTTGTAAATTGATCCTACAAGCTGCGAATCAGGCCAAAATCTATTCCGATTGACCCAGAAAGAAGCTGCATCAGGCCAAAATGGCGCATAAAAGCATGGAACATTATCAATAAGAATTTCAGTCGAAACAAAATCATTTTTTGTTAAAATTAAACTTTTTTCTAGTAAACTAATTGCAGCGGTTAGTTCGGGTTCAATGAATTCACTAAAAGTTTGTTTTAAAACAATCTGATTACTTAAGCCTACATCTTTAGTTATATGACAAATTATAGTAGCCATTTTTACGATTTCTTCGTTATTGCTTTTGTTTTTATTATAATCAGAAATAAATCCATCAAAATAAGTTCTATAATAATCAGGAAACGTTTTCAAAGTATCGAAATGATGCGGAAGAAGAGTTTTAATGTCAAAACAAAACTTGTATAACTCCTTATATGACTCGTGAAGTGCAGATACATATTGAACCCAATTTTCAATAACATCAGAAATTTTAGAAATCTGTGAATCTAATTTGCCTTTACATTCAAGAATGCTTTCATTTTCAGATAAAATAGGGATTACAATTTGACTGGTTCGTAAAGTGAAGTTCCAAACTTTATTGGTCGATAAAATATCAGAATTATTTGGTGAACCGTCTGATTTCATTAGGACTATTTTTAGCCTTTGGACTTCATTCAAGCATGTTAGGAGAGTTTTAATAGTCTCACAATCAACATCATTAAACTAATCAAATTTGTTATTTAAATGGTTGATTTGTTGTCTCGTTAAGCTGACTAACTCGGTAAGATACATTGTTGTATCTCCTTTAGAAAGATTCTCAGTACTAAATCTTAAAAAAGCTGAACAACCTTCAATTTTCTTTTTTAATACTTCACTAAAAATTCCTTCGAATCCTCTCACACTTATGGTTTTAAGTGGATTCTTTGTTGTCGGTTGTTTGTTATGAAAGAACTTTTTCAATACTACACCAGACAAACATTTTTTATCTTGAGCTGTATGCAAAGAGTCAGAGACAGAAGCAACTAATTTTTTTTTCAAATTTTTCTGGTATATGAATACATATATTGATATCATTTGCGAAGTCGTTTTTAATAACATAATGAAAAAAAGCTTTATTTTTATCCAACGTTTCGTAGCAAGTTTTAAACTGCATTTGACTCACTGTTCCAATAATAATGTTTAGATCTATTTCAAACTCAATAATAGTCTTTAATGTCGGATTGGCTAAACGAGCTGATGAACCACCTTCAGTTGAACTCCCTGTTTTTAAAACAAAATTAAAACAAATTATACAATTTTAAATAAAATTTATATTTTTAAACAAATTTAATATACTTAGTTTGATTATGTAAAGTATAGAAAATATGACATACAGAATTGCTTTTTTACATATCCACCGTCCTCAAGATTCATACCACAATTTTTAGATTCACATTTATTAAACCAAATTTTGATCGCCTCTTAAACTTTTATTACTAAATTTTTAAGCTTATTTTAAACGGTTTTACCTGTTTCCATTTTATATTACAAAAACATTTGCTTTTATGACGTTTAATATCTCAATTAACTCCTGAACCTCAATTAACTCCCTAACCTCAATTTACTTCCTAGCCTCAATAAACCAACCTCAATTAACTCCTTAACTAATCTCCCAATTAAATCTCAAGAAAATTATTTATTTATTAAAAATATTAATGAGAAAACCCTAAAAAAATGTTTTTTTAAATCTAAAGGATGATCTTATCAAAAAATTTAAAAACTTGTAAAATTCAAACCCAAAATAAAAACAACAAGCAACTATGCAATCAATTTAATATCAAAATCATGCATCATAATGTTTAATAGTTAATTACTTAGTAATTAATTGTTAATTAATAATCAAATAATAATAAATTTAGTAAGTAAAAAAAAAAAAGTGTTAAACCTAGCAAAACTATCAGTTGGTAAAACAAAAAAATGTTTCTGTTAAAACAATTTTCATTGACCCTTGAAACCTTCTTAAATACAATGACTTTCAAAATAAAGTGAAAAAATAAATATATAAACCCTATTTTTTACATTATATTACCATCAAATAGCATCTGATTAAATTGTAAGACATTTAAAGCCTTTAATTTTCTTCACAAGAAATTTAAAAACTTTATATTTTTCAATATAAAGTTTTGTAAAAGTATAATTATTTTTATCGGTTGGGCTTTTGACCGGATATATATAACATTAACTCAAAATATTTCCGACCGGATATATTTAACAATAACTCAAAAATAACTGAAATACCTTAAAAACATCAATCTTTTTGAACTTTTAAACTTGTACCAAATCTACCTTAATTGGACATCATTATAGTTATCGATATGTTTTTGTATTAAGCACAAATCATAAATCTTTGCTCACATTGTACCAGAAATGAATTATTTGAAAAAAAATGCCCACCAGAAATGGTTTGCATTTTTGAAAAATTCACTTCCAAAAAATATTACATAAAATTTAAAAATATCATGTCTACATTTTTGAAAAATAAATGAATTACTCATCTGGTGGTTACCAAATTTGAAAAATAAAAAAATGGTCTTTTAGGTAGGTAAAGTCCTGCAACATTGACACATCTTTAGAATTACACTTTTTTTGCTTGAGACAAAATATTTTTGATATAAAATATTTGTATGTGTTTAAAAATGGTATTACTTCAATAATCTGATAAAAAAATTTAATAAAAAATGCAATATTATTGTTAGATAATTGATTTTGTTGTCGTTGTTCAATTGTCAATTTTACTCTCTGTATGGAGTAGCATTGAAAATAGTTTATTTTGTATCATAAATGGTAATTTAAATTATAAAGGTTTAAATAATCTAATCATAGAAGTTTTGACAAACAAATCAGGGATGAATGTAGACATGAATCTAAGTTGATGAATGTAGACATAAATCAAT